GAACAAAGACTTACCTTGGCCTTTCACATGGCAAGTCTCCCAAAAGATCTGTAAGATAGAGAACAGAAATTAAAAAGAATTACCCTTCACTTTGTCTTTCGGATAAAAATTAATAATGAAATTTTCAGCTTTATGATTGGATGAAGCACACGCGGGAATAGAAACCCATCTCAGGATTGGCCAGAACAATACATAAAATGAATAAACCATGACTCAACTAACTTTTTCGTAATGCAAGGCGCAAGTCTCCCAAGATCTATAACAAAATAAACAACTAACTGAAGAAATTTATTGTTTTTCTCTATCCTCTGGTTGACCAAAACGGCCTTGACTTGAGCTTGTTTAGACGGGTTCGAGGACTATCCATGTTCCCATTTCTAACTCCTCTCTGGCTGTCCTGTCCTTGATAGGAATGGCACGGAGCCGGCAAGCTGAACACATCAAATAGTTTACATTTGCAGCTGAAGTGAATACAATGCTGTCATGTATCACTTAGTGGAAAATGACATTTTCTTATTATTATCATAGATGGTGAATTGATCTCTCTTTGTGTCACACCCCGAAATCTACCAGAATGGGAAATGACATGGCCGTCCTTTCACCCAAAAGACGCAACCTGAAACTACAACAAGAAATCTAACTTCCAAAAATCCCCACAACATTGCTCTTGCTCTATTAGCTACTAACCAAGAAACCTGAAAAGATTGGAGAAAGAGAGGGGTGAGCAACCACAGCTCAATAAGTAGTGCGTATCTCTTCTAAGCATATCGAGCAACAACTATGCATGTATACATAAAGTCACACCAGAAACTCATAATTCAACTCTTTAATATATATATCAAATCATATACGAGTTGTTTCATTTCAACAAGACTTTATATAATTAAGAAATACTCATTTAAACCACCATATCAAATCAACCATCAATGATCAAGTCCATTGATCAATCTCTATTAAAAATCACGTCAATGGTCTATTCCATTGATCAATCTCAAATCACACATCAATGGTCTATTCTATTGATAAATCTCATATCACATCACACGTCGATGGTCCATTCCATTGACCAATCTACCGCTCAATATCAAACCATGATCACGAAACAAAGCCTTGTGACAAGGCTACCAAGACTCCCTCCTTGGCAATGTCTCCACCTACTATAAGCCAATGGCTCGACCCACAAGGATATTTAAGATTAATATGCGCATACCCACAAGCCCCTCAATGGGCTCACAGTGATATTGAGCACCAACACAAACTCACAACAATATTCTTCACAATTCACAAATCCAATCCAAAACAAATATCACATTTTGGTTTTACAAACCAAAACATTTAATCTTCAAAATACATTTCACAATGCATATCTCAAACTCTTTCAGAACTCTTCATAAACCAGTTCGTAACGTAATATATATATCCGTTCACAATATCTTTCTTAAAACCATCTCAAATCGTTCTCAAATATTAAAAGGTAGTAATAACCCGATCCATACTTTTATGCAAAAACATTAGGGGTGAGCAGTTCCCGGTTTGATCTGATCCAACTCAAGAACCGGGAACCGGTTTGGGAGGACTGGTTCCCAATTTCTAGGATTGGGGACCAGACCGGCTGGTCTTAGGACTGTGGACAGGTTCCAATGGGACCAATCACTTATTGGTAAAGGCAAGTGGGAATTGGGGAAATTAGATTAGGCTTTCTATTTTTTAAAAAAGTTTTAAAAAGTAAATAAAGATATATATGAAAAAATTAGAAAAATATATATATTTTATTGGTCCGGTCCAGTCCGGTTCCCACCCTAGAACCACGAACCGGACCGCCTGGAAACCGGTTCCACTTTTAGGAACTGGGAACTGGACTGATATTCCCGAGAACCGGACCAAACCGATCAGTCTAGTCTGATCCGGTCCAGTCCCGGTTTGGGCGGTCCATCTTGCTCACTCCTAACAAACATGCTTTAATAACTCATACGATATTCAAATCTCTATTACTTTCAAGACATAAGTTTACAAATCCATAGAAGACATAGCACCACTCACCTAGAAATGCCTACGATTAAACAGTAAAGATTACTCGAACTGTCGAACTCGCAATCCTATCAAATAAGCCAGAAACAACGTTAAAATCGAGGAAAATGCCACCTCAACTACGACTCGGCTAAAGTAGGCTTAGACGCTAACATAACGACTAAAAGGCTCTCACAAAACGCTCGTCCAAAGCGATTATCCATAACCATCCGCAACGCGGAGCTTGAGCACGAAACTTAATTGCACTATAATTTTCTCCACCAAACTCCGTTCCAACCGAGCTTATAGTCAAAATAAAGCCCATTCAAAGAACTACAAGACCCCTGACTTGGCCGACCCAAAATCTAGCCAAAAAGCGACGAAAATTGGCATGGAAAGCTGCTGTTGCATGATGTTCACCACGTGTGCTCAACTTCAAAATTTTGTTTCGGGCAAATCATAAGTCCAAATTGAGATCCACAAAATCCCACGGCCACATAACACCCTAAACTATCATTTCTATGCATATACACAGCTTAATGACTTAAAAATCGGACTACGCGGCTTTATTTTCACAAAACTCCGAAATTATGCCCTAATTCTGAAAAATACTCCGATTGAACGAACAAGGGCTGCGAGTACTTACCGGGCATTGCAATACGAAGTCGAAGCGACTTAGCGAGGCCCCGTGGCTCAAAACCCTCTTCTCTTTTCCTATTTTTCTTTTTCATCTTTCCTTTCCTCTCTTTTCTTCTTTTCCTCTCTTCCCGTGAGAGCTCTCGATCTTCTCTCTCTTCCTTTTTAAGGAGCTTAACGAGCCCCTTTCTTTTCTCTTTTATTTCTTTTCCTTTTCTTTTCTTTTCTTTTCTTTTTTGTCAAAAAAATCCAAATATTACACTTTGTTGAATCGGGGTGTGCATGACAGAAACTAGATTTGTCAAATGGGTGGGTTGAGTCGGATTTGGATTGGGTCACAAATGGTCCAATCCAAATTGACCAATTAATCCATTTCTGTACAATGCAATTTTCTTGACCCATATCCGACCTAACCCATACCCGTCTCGATCTATATTGCTAAAATATTTCCGTATTTAACTAAATTTAGGAAAACTCATACATAAACTGATATGAGGGTACGGAATGAGTGAGCACGAAATTGAGTGAGGGAGAGAGAGATGAGTTGAGTTTAAATAAGTTGTAAAACCATTTATGACTCATTTAACACTCATATTATACCTATACCGATTTATGACCCATTTAGTGAATATAACTAACCCATTTACAATCCATTTACTAATATATGGGTTAAGAAATAAATTAATGACCCATTTTGACAGGTATAATAGAAACCTATTATCCAAGGAAAAGGACGACAATAAAACGTTGACCCACGTAGCCTTCTAGGAACAAGGACACAATAGGTGCTAAAACTTGTGTATGACGCTCACTTTAGTGTCAAAAGTTTCCGCCGGATCACTTAAATGTCAAACTTTTTAAAAAACGATCACTTAAGTGTCAACGCCGATCAGTTTGGCCGGAAATCCGACGTAGCATTTTTTATTAATTTCTAAAGCCGATGTATCTCGTCGAAAATTCGACGTGGCATTTTTTTATTTTTTTATTTTATTTTTTTCCTTTTTTGATTTTCTCTTTGTTTCGCTAGTGGCCGGGCCGGCCACTTGCGAAGCCCGGGAAGGGCTGGGCGAGGGTTGCCCTTGCTAGATCTGGCGAGGGCCACCCTCGCCAGCAACAAGCGAGGCCAGCCCTCGCCAGCCATGGCCGAGGCCAGTCTCGCCTCGACGAGGCGACCCTCGCCCTAGTCGAGGTTGCCCTTGAAAGCCATAGGTGAGGGCCGGCCTCGCCTGGGCGATGGGTCTCACTGGAGACTTTTGGCACTAAAGTGAGCACTATATATAATTTTTGACACTTGTAGTATCCTTGTTCCTAGCCTTCTATATTACAAGTCTCCATCATTGAACTTGTGTTTGCGGGCAAAAGAAGAAACAGACGGGGTGGATTTTTTTCTCACCTTTGCTGAAAGGAGCCAATGGCCGGATTCTCTTTGGATTTCTCAGTTTCTTTTTTTTTCTCACTTTTACTTTACCCATCTTTTTGTGCAGTAGACACAGCAGGTGAGAAGAAAGAAATCTCCATCACAAGCGGTGGATAATTCATAATTCTCAAGTGGGCCAGCTCTTAAGTTCATAAAATAAAGAGAAAGCTTTCCATGTAATTAGTAAGAACTTTCGAAGGCCTTTTTAAGGTAACCCTCACCCTCTGAAAGAAACAAGAGCCTTTCTATTGATCTATTTAGAACTCCAGAATTACTTTTTCTGGGTATTCATTCTTAGAGGCAGTTCATCTGACAGCATACAGGTTCAAGTCAAATGCCTTCAGGTGGTCATGTCTCTCCTCCTCCAAAACCTCTTGGACAAGAAATGAGGAATTCAGGAGATAGTATGGCTCTACAGATCGAGCAGTACCTGCTGAAGAAGTTCAAAGATGGGCTTGATTCTAAAGACAAGAGTGGCTCCAAAGTTGAATTACATGGCCACTTCCAGAAGCTGACTGAACTGCTTGAAGGTAAACTCCACTCGTCCTCGGGCGAGGGCCAATCGGTCAGGGACAATCTCTATTACCTCAACAATGTCTTGGCCGAGTGCCGGTCACTATCAAAGAAGCAGATTCTATCCAGACACAGAATTAAGTGGAGCCTGCACAAGATCGAGGAGGAACTTAGACGGAATTCGGGTATCGGTGGGAGCAGTGATACTACTCAGAATTGCAATGGCGGAAGTTCAATGGAGAGCCTGAGAAGTTTCGGTTCCAAATATCTCTGCAAGCAGATTCGGTGAAGGGCTTTGCCAGAGAAATGGAGTTACTGGAATCTCTGTGCAAGAAACCAAGCTCCGACGAATTCAGGGCAATTGGTGTGGTGGAGAAAGGAGGAATTGGCAAAACAACTATGCCAATTGTTCTTCAGCAACGCACAAATGACTAGAGAGTTCCTTCCTAGAATTTGGGTGAGCTTGTCCAGACAGCCTACTGAGAAACCCGAAAACAAGGCAGAAATTGTTAAGGCGGTGTTATTCCAGCTAGGTGTGGAAGAGGAAGTCGGTGATATCGAAGCTAAATGTACGTCTGTGGATCATAAACTAAATGCTCTCGTCGCTTTACTCCACACGCATCTGTGGGGGAAGAAGTATTTGATTGTCTTGGACGGTGTCCACGATGTGGGCGTCCGCGATAAGGACGTCTGCGATGAGGGTGTCCCCGATGTGGGTGTCTGCGATGCGGGCATCCGCGATAACGGCGTCTGCAATGCGAGCAATGAATGGTATTCCAATTTGGGCTCTAGCTTAAGCAACGGGGGTCACTGGGGTCATCGCCTTGTGCACGGATTACCGAAAGGGTACGGCAGGAGAGTCATTGTCACGTGTAGGAATGAGGAGATGGCCAGGAAAATGGTTGGAGAGGACAATCTGCACCGGATAATGCTGCTTTCGAATACTGAAATCTGCTGGGAGATATTCGAGAATTCAGCCAAGCAACAAGAAAAGCAAATTGATTCTACCAAAGAGGAGCTGAAGCAGGATATCAAGAATAAGTGCGCTGGCCTCCCCTTAATACGCCAAACTAATGGGTCAAATGTATGAACCAACAACTTCAGCAGCACCAGCAAACACAACTCCATGACAGTAGTGAGACTGAATTGAAGTTGTGTATCTTGCATTTCGTATGTCATCTTGAGAAAAACTTTGTTTATTACTGTGTAGAGTCCGTACAATTTGGGCATTAAATCCGTTATTTGTAACAAGAGAATCCATCAGAAAATCAAATGTTTGATTCTACCTCATTTTGCATCTGGGGCTCTCTGGTCATCTTTTCCACGACAAAAATAATGACCACTACACAGGTGTTTATGCTTCGGTAACACAAGGGCTCAAATTTCTGTATTCTCAAGCAGCTAGTTTTCAGCAGTTCTGAATAAGAATTCCACAAGTCTGAATGAACGATGTAACTAAATCTAATCTTCTGCGAGCAACATTCTGCTAAAGAACGATGCACGCTAAAGAATTATGTACATAAGAGAAGCTGCATGTTTTTGTGTCCTGATGAGAAGTTCCAATGCGTTCATATTACACAGAACTAGTACACAAACAACATTAGTTTACTCTCGTTTAAAAGTTACTTAACACTAGACATGTGCCTAAGAAACTGCATTGTTCTGTTTCTCCAAGATCGACCTTGATTGCCAGGGCCATCATCAAAATGAAGTCATTTATAAACAGCTTGAGATGAGAACATCGTTTCTCGATTATATGAAGTGGGAAATCTCTTAAAAAAAAGAATTGTATAAATGTGTGGCATTCTGGTAGCAGCAAGAGGAATTGATCAGAACTTGGTAGGAATCTCCAAAGTGCATACAAAATTCATGAGAAACCATGCACTTTCTGAAGACATTCTTTCTGAATTTCTCTGCCCTACCTTCATGATCATCTGCAAGATTTCTATTTACAGTTCCTAAAGAAATTGTCTTATGACATGATGCTAATGATGGCTTTTACAGGTGAGGTGAATCAAATGAGAAAATCTTCAATTGATTCTGGCACGTGTATTACCCTGCTGCTATGAACTCTTAACCAACAGATCAACATGGTTGACTCTAGACGGATGATGCTGTAACTTTTAGCTGATGTATCCTCTCAGAATATGCAATACAGTCCTCTGGAAAGTCTCTGATTTTAAGTGTGCTCCTCATTTGAAGAATTTGAACCAGGAGAGTTTCTTTTGTGGGGAACAAAGCAAAGATTATCGAATGATAAGGTGCAACCAACTAAATCATTTGCAGTACATTAAGTTCATTTCACAGGCCCAATGTCCTAAGCATGCACCGAAAATGGAAAATGGGGTCCTATATGGATGTATACGATTTGGATTATTTCTTGGGTTAATACCACGAAAAACTCCAAACTGGTACACCTGTAACAATTTTACCCCCCACCATCAAATTTTACCATTAAATTTGTAGATGTGGATGACACATGATAACATGGTATAGTGACGTGACAAGTTCACGTGGAAATTCATAGAGTGAATATCATGAAAAACCTCAAACCGGTCAACTAACAGAGAGTAAATTTATCACAAGATTATCATTTTAGGATTTTTGGTGATCAAAAAATTAGTTTGGGATAAATTTGTCATATGTGTACCAGTTTGGGATTTTTTGTGGTAAAAAAATTAGTTTGGGGCACACATGTTTTTCGTGGTAAAAAAATTAATTTTGGATAAATTTGTCACAGGTATACCAATTTTGGGTTTTTCGTAATATTAACCCTTATTTCTTTTCGGAGAAAATTTCAAATAGGATCTAAAGTGGGTACTAATCGATTTTCTGAAGAGAACATTGAAGTTCCTTAACACGGAAGACATCAATACCGACGTTTATACACGGAGGTTTCATGCTGGAATTTTTAGGAGCGTCATTGTGTACTTCATCTTTTCGAAACATACCAAACCATATGATACTACATTCAAAGGTCGAGGTGAATTGGATAATGAAATCATCTCAAACGTTGTAAACTGTCTGCATAGCTGTAAGCAGCCACTAGAACCTGACAACTAAATGCCAATTCTAATAAAATCCGACTCTTTCAGTTACTGCTTCCTCTCTCTTTTCACGCAGTGGCGTCCTCCTTCTCCCAACTATATGTTTTGCTAGTCTTTCTCGACAAATTTTGGTTCAAATGCGGTCTCCACTTTTGGAGGGTAGTATTGTCTCCCCAAGTCCAGTGCTGTGCTTTTGACAAGCCAAAATTTCTCGACTCTTTAATGAGACCCAGCAGATGAAATTGTCGAAGTCTGCATACCATCTCATGTGAGCATTTACTGCTCAAAGTAGGACGCTTATAAAGTAGTCCAACAAACGTTCCTGCATATGGGGAACAACACAAGAATTCGAGAACACTGCAGTAGTGATAAACGTATGAGGTTAATCATAATTGTAGCTAGTGAATGAGCACATGTACTCGGGACTGATAATGGCCACTGTGAAATCCATGTTAGGGGATTCCTTGTTCTCACAGTTAACTATTTACTATCAGGCAGCACATCTCCAAATGTGTAGTTTACAGATAATCACTGAGATTAGCACTCAGAAAGTTAGCAGCTTCACAAAGTGAATGCAAAGAATTCCCTGACAGGAGAACTATGTAAGGTGGACATGAATAGAAAGCCAAACCATCCACGGAGATTTTATCTCGTGCAGAATAACCTTGAAACAAGCAATAATCAAAGCTGCTTCACTGACCAGATAAATACAACAACCAATATGGTCTAGCAGTTTCTGAATCTTGCAACTGATGATGGCTGATAGCTGAACAAAAGCCAAAGAATTCCCTGACAGGAGAACTATGTAAGGTGGACATGAATACAAAGCCAAAACCATCCACAGAGATTTCATCTCCTGCAGCATAACTTGGAAACAGGCAGTAATCAAAACTGCTTCACTGATCAGATAAATACAACCACCAATGTGGTCTAGCAATTTCTGAATCCTGCAACTGATGACGGCTGATAGCTGAACCAAAGCCTTAGATGGGTCGAGTTTCCTGCTACGAAGTACGAACTAAGCAATAAGCATAGTTATTAAGTTTGCTTAAAAAACGATACGGTCTCCTTTTCACTTGGAGTGATGAAATTCCCTATAACTCCTTAGACAAAGCAAAAATTCATCTCTCTCTGATTTTGACTGAAAGTTTATCATCGAATGTAAAGGTAAAAGACTTCCATTGCATCACCAGAATGTAAACAAAGCAAAATGATACTCGAAACTATTATCATTTAGTGGTGGAAGAAGAAACAGGGATAGGACAAATGGTATCCTTCCGTTTAAGAAAAGACCAAGACAAACCCAATCCCGATTCTTCCATCTGTTTAGCTTCCATTTTCCCATTCAACCAAACTCCACGCTCATCACAGGGGAAGAAAGTGAGCTCGGGACATTTGACCTTCTCCAAGTAAATTAGCTTTGGAAATGACTTCTGCAGTTCTCCCCAATCCATCTTCAGCGGCTTTAGTCAATCAATCATAATCTTTCGGAAGCTCCAACCATCTCCTCTGCCTCATGTTCAATTCTTCTTGAGAAAAAAAATATATACCTTAAGCTCTTGTGATCCCTAAAGACTTCGCATTTTTCGTCATACAAGTAATGCTGCCATGTGATTCCAACTGTCTACAAGCATAAGCCCAACTTTACCATTTGCATCGCCAAAATTCTGAAATTCCTTTTTCTGTCCACTTCTACTAATCATTTCCTAATTTCACATCTAATGCTTAGTCTTCCCATTTCGCATTATTATCCTCAAATCGATCCACTGAAAATTATTACTTACAATTTGTCATGCCTAAAAGATCACACTACTGAAGTATTCTAGCATCCAAACACCTCTTATATATATATATCAATTCCTGCATAGTCTCTAATATCTCCAAAGTATCATCAATTAACAAAATATCGTTGCGACAATTTTCTCCAGTAGCATAAAGTTCATAATCATTCGCCAACACTTGAAATATAATCCTCAGAATATCCATCAAGTCAAAATATATCACAACCTAAATTTTCACAAGTTGTCGATTCTCCTTTCAACATTCCATTCACTTCAATTACGTACATAGTCCAAGAATATCACATCATCCACTTGAAGATTCGTGCAAATCAACTCTTATTTATTGCACAAAAACTTTCGAATACTTTTCCTGTCCTTACACTGGAGCTCCCCTTATGTTCAGACACAAGATCTTAACTTCCCATGTTATCCTATTGTTCTGAATCATGCCTAGTTCTTGGAGATTTCCTCCCCTTATGTTAAGACACTTTAGCAACTTCAATTTGCCTTCAATCAACCAAGCAGGAGCGGCAGTCCCTGGAAAGCACTGGAGCTCCAATTTCTGCAAGCCCCTGATATTTCCTGCATTTAGGGAAAAGGTCCCGGTAGGATTGTGTCCCCTGAAGGCAAATGTCCTGCTGAGTTTTCTCCTCTCCGCAGGAGCTGTCTGTGCTGGTTGAGGAAGTTCATTCGGTTGTACGGAAATGTTGTCTTGCTGAGTTTTTGTGCTGTTTGTTTTATCACCCATCTTGACACTGCTTGCATTGCTTGAGATTGCTGAATAGTTCAGTTGTTTAGAAATCTTATTTTGTTTTTCCTTAGACGGTTTCCCTCCCCAAGCTATCGTTAACTTCTTAAGATTCTCAAAACCTTGCAGTACTTTTAGCTCTTTGTCTGTTGGAAAATTTTCCCTCCCTGTATAGATGCCCAATTTTCTTAACTTCAGCAATCCTACCAAATCTTCAAGAGTACATGAGTTGCTGCCGATCGAGTCACCAATGACAAAACCCTTGAGAACTTGGAGCTGCGCGAGGAAAGAAAGCTCTTTCGGAATGCGATCCAGCAAGTAGCACTGTGATATATCCAAATGCGTCAGCTTCTTGAGTGCACCTATGTTCATAGGAGGCAACTCTAAATTGTGGCATGCATTAAGATCCAGGATTTTCAAGCTGGTGGGCTTGCAAATGGAATCTGGGAGCTCTGTAATTCTAGAGATACCTTGAAGACTCAAGAGTTGAAGATGCTTCATATGCTTTACCCCTTTCAAGATCTACGTGCCCTCAACTTCTATATGATGCTTGGCAAAATCTTGCCAACTACTAAGGTATAGTACATTGAGATTTTTCAGCTTCGAGAACCAATCCAGCTTAAAATCAGGATAAGGATCGTTGACGTTGAACGTGGTTTGCAGTTTTTCCAGATCATTCTCATTTTTTGTCAACCTCTCCCTAGAAGATTTTCCTTCAGTTCTCACCAAGCATGCTCTGTAAGACCACGAGAAGTCTTCAGTAGGAACTCCCATCGAATTGAAACTAAAGAACCCAACTTTCCCCGCAACGGCAATTACCACAAAGCGGACCAAAGGATCCATCTTGAATCCGATCAGTTTGCGTTTCTTGAGTACAGGTTCGACCAAACCTTTCGCAATGAGCTCCTTGAAAACATCATCAGCGCTCGCATCGTCGGAATCCACCAAACCCTCTCCCGTCCACCAGTTCACTATAAGCCTCTTCCTCAAAACAGCATTCTCAGGGAACAGAGAGAAACAAAGCAAGCACAGCTTCGATCTCGGGTCGAGATCCTCAAAAACACACGAGAGGTCATCGAAAAACTCTTCGAAAGCAGGGGCACCCAGAACTTTTTTCTTCATGTCTTGTTTCGGCATTTCATCGACAAGGTAGTACGCGTTAAACACGAACCCCGTGTCCGATTGATGAGCACTAGCATTAGAGGTAGACAGTTTACGGAGAGAAGGAACCTGGAGTTTCAGATTCGTTACCATGTCGCTGATCGAGCGAAACTTGCTGTGGGACTTGCTGACTGCTGATCGCGCGGTTGCTTCCCTTAACCTGAGCCATGCTGCTCAGGATCTGATCCAGCGAACGGCGTTGTTCCTCAATGTTCTCGAACTGCGAGCCGAAGTCCACCTCCAACTTCCTGAACTTGGTCAGCGTGCGCTCGATGTAGTTGAGGTCTCTCCGCAACTTCTCCGCCTGATTCCGAAGCGTACCATTGCTCCCACGAGAGCTCGCGCTCCAGCTCGAGCCTCCCTCGCCGCCGCCGCCGCCCTTGGCCTCGACCTTCCCCTCCTCGGCGGCGACACCGCCGTCGTCGCTCTGGGGCACAGGCTCCGGAAGGGAGTCCGTCACTTTGGAGACGAACGCGAGCAACGCGGGGATCGATTTGATGATGGGCTCGACGTTCTGGATGTCTCCGTGACTTGACAGGGGAAGCGGACCGTCCGGCGGCGGCATGGCCGGTGCGGTGGGCACGAGAGAGTTTGAAGAGGTTGAAGCGTTGAGTCGAATCTTCCAAGCATCAATACAGAAGCAGAAGAAGAGGAAGGAGTGAAGTCAACGGTTCTCCTCACGTGCTGAGCTGGAGGTAGAAGGAGGGAGTCCAAGCTGACGTGGCCGAGGAAATCCTTGCATGGCGCGGATTAACGTCACGTGCGCTGCACGTCGCTATGCGTTCGTCTTTTCTTTATTTTTCTCCCATTTCCTTTTTCTCAGTCTAGAATAGATGTTCATTTTTTAATTATTGAAAGAATAACGAAATGTTTATTCGATGTTGCTTTCAAAGTGGTAACAAAGAAAATGATTGTTAGATAAATTTATTTCTCCATTTAATTTCAATTAATAGTCATCGATTAATTCATTATGATGTTGCACAAGGAATTGAAAACAATGGCGCCCGTTTAACAAAGCTAAAAGAACTTAATTGCATCTAGCGGCAGTTGAGTACCAAGAAATAACAAAGAAGAAAATATCATCTGGAACCCACGTTTATCCCCGCTGAAATTTCAAACATGCGAAATTGCTAATTACTTTGACCGGCTAAGAAATGCATTTTTAAATAAAATCAGCTTGCAAATTGATTAGTGCTAGTTTAAAGAAATAGGAGAAAATGAAAATTTCGAATACCAACCTCATGCTTAATTTTTGGCATAAAAATGACAAGTTTTAGGACTTATCTTACAATCATCCCCACGCAGAAATAGAATTACTCTGAAAGTCCAAATACGACAGACATAACTTAACAGAAGGCAACGTCTGGCCAATAACAAAAGTTAAAACAAGGCAACCTACCTCAATATTATCGTTTATATTTTATAAGGAATAATCTTGAAATGTTTTAGAAGGTTTGATTTTTTTTTTCCCACTATAAAAAGGTCTAGTCTATAAGGGAATACTTTGTGTGGTTTTATCATATATTTTTAATTAGTTTATCACTTGTTGCTTGATTTATCTTGAATGGCTTTCCGCTAATGGAAATAATTATATTGCTCATATTGGATTTGTTTCACGTAAAATTTAATATTTTTGAAAAATATTTTTCAAGAAGTCACTTTCCAGGAAAATAACAATAGTTTCTGATGTTGAGCTGAAATCTAATAATGAATAGGAAATTATTGTCGGTAATTTTAAAAAGGAAAAATTAATTTTATTTTCCTAAAGAGACCTACACTATTCATGTGATCTAAGGATATTTAGTTTCAAGTTCCGAATGCAAGAGCTAAGATTTCTTGCACCTAGCCATTGAAAGCCCAAGCACGGATACTGGGGACTCGAGCCCGGTCGCTGGTGACTTGGGTATAAGAGCCGAGTATCTGGACACAACCAAAGGGGACTTGAGCATGGGCATCAAGGTCTTAGGTGCGCCCTCAAGAGCTGGGCCAGCCTTTTGGACTCAAGCTCGGTCGCCAATGGAGTGGTCCCCAGCACCAAGAACTTGTACACGGGTGCCAAGTACTTAGGCATGGCTACCAAGGACAAGAGCACAGGCACCAAGGTCCTTGGCCTTGAGAGACACAACCATGGCCTTCGTGGACTGGGGCCCTGAATTGTGCGTGACAATTCGATAGCCAAACAAGGTCGTTGGGGACCTAAGCATGGGCATCGAGGTCTTGGTCATGACCGTTGGTAACTTAGGCATGGATATTGGGTCCCCTGGCCTCGAGAGACCAAAGCCCAACCTCCATGGACCCTGACCCTAACTTGTGCGAGGGAGTCGAGTATTTGGGCACATTTGTCGTGGATTCAAGCACTGGCACCAGGGTCTTAGGCTCAGCCTCGAGGAATCTAGGCTCAACTGCGGGTGACTTGGGTGCTAGAGTTGGGTACCCAAGCATGGCTACTAAGGCCTCGGGCACGAGCACCAATGTCCTGGGCATGGCCACGGGGAACTAGGTACGAGCACCGAGTTCCTAGGCCCGACCTCTATAGAACCAGGTCTAGGTGCTGGTGACTTGGGTATAGGAGTCGGGAAGTTGGACACAGCTTCTGAGGACCCAGGCATAGGCACCTGGGTCTTGCACTTGGCCTTGAGGAATCTCAACCCAGCGAGCTTGGCTGTTGAGGAACAGGTCCCAGCCTCGATGGACCTAGGCTTGAAAGTCGAGTATTCAAGCATGGTCATTAGGGACCATGGCACGGATACTGGGGTCTTGGGCTTGGCCCTTGTGGACTGAGCTCGGCGGCCGAGGACATGAGTCCAGACGTTGGGTTTCCCATACCTAAGCGATGATATTTATTTGTATTTTGGAAAATGAATTTTTTATTTTCATAAAGGAAATCATTTTCCTAAAGTTGAACATAGGTTTTCTGCTGGCTATGAAAAGATTTTCTATTGACTCTAAAGAGATTTTTCGTTGAGTGATTTTCTTAAATGATCCAAAAGCTGAAAAATGAGGAAAATACTTTCTGACACAAAATTTTTCAAGAAATAGACAGAACCTACAAAAAGACTAGACTATTGTTTCACACATGTTCCATTTATGAGAAACTTTAATGTGGCTACTTTATTATTATACTTCATGAATGTTGTACTCTGAAGATGTTAGGATTCGCCGTACAATCACAAAAAAAATAGAGAATAAAAGCGATAAAGAGAAATTTAGACGCAAGATTTAATCCCGGTTCACCCTTAAATTAGGGCTACGTCCAATTGAGGATTTTCACTATAATTAGAACCTTGCACCTCTCTGTTACATTCCTTAATTACATGAGAAAGAGAATATATATATCCAGCAGCTATTTAGGACGCCTTTGGTAACGTTTCTATTTCTGGGAATAATTTCTTTTCAGAAATAGTTTTTTCTATTTCTATTTGCTGGGTGAGTTTTTGAGCAAAAGAATACGTTTGGTAACTGCACAAAATTTCTATTCCTGGAATAGAAAAATAACAGAAATGCGTTTGGTACAACAAAAAAAATTTCTATTCCCAATTTTTTGCATTCAAATCTATATCTTTTATTTAACTATAAGTACAAGTTATAAGTGAAAAAAACCAATAAGCATGGTTTATTGGTTTGTCTAATCCTTTTTAGGGGTTTAAAACCCCTTTTAATCCCTAAACTAAGGAATCTTCAAAAATACCACTTGGGCACCTAAAAAAATTTAAATTTCACTCAAAGTGGGTGGCCACAGGTATTCTAAGCCATTTTGTGAATTTTTTTTTATTTTTTTGGGGTAAAATTTTTTAAAATTTTTTACTTTCCCTAAATCTGTTTCTTTTTATTTTCCAGAAACTTTTTTATGAATTTTTTGTAAATTTTTTAAATTTAGAAATTTTGCAAATTTTTATGGGTTTTCTGAGTTTTTCTTACTTTTATGGATTTTCTGAGAATTTTTCTGATTTTTATGAATTTTTGGAATTTTTTAATTTTCTAATTTTTTAGGTATTTTTCTGAAATTTTTCTAATTTTTATGAATTTTCGGAATTTTTTAATTTATTCTAAGCCATTTTGTGAATTTTTTATTTTTGAATTTTTTTGGGGAAAAGTTTATTAAAATTTTTTACTTTCCCAAAATCTCTCTTTTTATTTTCCAGAAACTTTTTTATGAATTTTTTTAATTTTTTCAGTTTCATAATTTTGCAATTTTTTATGGGTTTTCTGAGTTTTCTTGATTTTTATGAATTTTTGGAATTTTTTTAATTTTTTATGAATTTTTTTTATTATTCCCACCGGGAATGGACCGGACCGATGCTTTGAGACGGTCTACAGACGACGGAGGATGGAGGAGGAGCTGAGGCTGCGGCTTGAGGACCGGACCTTTTTATTTCTTTTTTTGTTTCTGGGAACAAAGAAGTAGAAAAAATCTACTTCTTATTTCTGTTCCAAATCTATTTCTTGGCCATTTTTCTATTCTAGGAAATAGAAAAATAAAATGCGTTATTAAACAGATTTCTGTTCTTTTTTTGTTCCAGGGAATAAATGAACAGAAAAATAGAGAAGTAGAAACGTTACCAAACGCGCCCTTATGGGCCTAAGCCCAAGCCCAAGCCCAAGCACAAACTACTAATAAAATCATGAATTCAAAATATAAAAAACCTTTTGGCTATCTAATCATTGGAGAGTATGAATCACACCCCAACAGAAGAGAGAATTGATTTCATGTGTGGACTTCGCTTCAATTTCAAAGTTAGAGTTTGAGCGTTTGTACACACATGTTTCTCCAAATTCCAGTTTCGAGTTTATTTTGATTCAAGTCGGAATTTTCAATTCCCCAACATTCTAAGTTTCCTGCTTTTCAATCACTTTTGCAATTGCACAACTTGCTTTTCTCACGAAAAATCTATGGATTTTATCATATTATGGTCGAGTTCCAATTAAGGAGTGAAATCCGGATCCAATTAATTTGCCTTTCGATAACGCTATTATCATCCGGAGTTGTCTAACTTGTCCCCGCATTTGAAATTTGTGAAGCCAAAATGACTCGCATCCGAATATGATCTACAATCGAAATTGACTCGATCAAAAATGGATCTGACCCTTCATTTGTCGCCTCTACAGGTCATGTTCAACTTGGCGATAGAAGCCAAGGAGTCTGTTTTTTTTTTGGTCAGAACCAAGGTGTCCGTTTACTGGCATCAATAAGGTGGTGGCGCTTGCATTTGCATAATCTTAACTCGAACTTAATGCATTTTGATTTTGCTCGAAGCACGGGGCAATTTTTAGTGTTCTTGACTAGCACTCGGAATGAAAACGTGTTCTTCAATTGTAAGCCAGAACACATGAAACCGACTAGATGAAAACTTCCTCACATAATCCAAAACATGGATAGGTGTGGCGTTTTCTTTTTATAATCAACTCGAGCTCAAAATAAAAAAAACTGTAGTGGGAAACACAATTGATTCTAATATGTATTTATCCAACTAAACAAAAAATGTTCAAGACTTAGGATTCTTTAGATTTCTTTCCTAACATATTCGGTTTAACAAACCGATCTACATCCTCAAATCAAGTCGGGTT